GAAAAATTGTTCTACATGCTCATAGATTTTCAAAAGATAATCAAATTAACTTTTATTTTATTTTAATATAAATAAAAATCTGGAATATATTTTGTTTGTTCAAATTCAATTATATGATTTAAGTCTAGAATTTTTGAAATATTTAAGTTTTGGCAAGTTTAAGATTTCAAAATATTTTAGTTTTGGCAGGTTTAGGATTATTTTAATGTGTTTGGCAATTAGAGTAAGAGTAATCAAAATAAGTTAATTTGAAAATAAACGTGTTTGGTAATGAGTATAGAGTCATTAAATAAATAAAAAATAAAAAGATTGAGAAAATTTGTGGTGATGACACTTAATTGGTTTATTGGTTTTGGTATTTTAATGGATTTGGAATTCCAAGCCAAATCCTATGTTATTTAATTAATCATTTTAAAATGGGAATTTTGCTAAATTGACTCACATTGAAATTGGTTTTGTCCTAATAACTTTTGCTTTTTGTGCCAATTTTTTTCTATATTACCCTTTGATTAATATTGAAAATTACAAATAAATGATTTTTATAATTTTATAAAATTAGAAAAATACAAAAGAGTAATGTACAAGGCATATAGATTCATGTTTATATTTTTTTTCAAAAAAAAACTATGACAGCAAATTATTTATTTTTCTTTCTACCATGGTCGAATCTACTAGTAGATTAGATGTTCTCCGAATTTTTATAATCTACGAATGGTAGAAGGAAGTATTCTACTAGTTGTTCAAATTCTACATATCGCAGATTGCACATTCCACCATTTTGATTCAGTACTACCAACCGCATAATACTATTTCTACCAATGACTCTGTCTTCTACGATACGCAGAATACATATTTTACCCTTTTTATCTACCGTTTTCTCTTTCTACCCAATGGTAGAAAGGATATTCTACCAAAGTTAGTTTTAATCCCCTAAATCTAGGACCATTAAATTGTGAGTTTTTTTTTTCCAAAAACGTAATATTCGGTAAATATTTTCTAAATCTATTATTCTCCTTCTTGATTTTCTCTTTTCGTGAAAATTTTTTTTTACTTTTTTTGTCAAACGTTTTTTTGAAGTGTTTTTGGAAAAAAACACATTTTGCATTTTTTTCGAATCCTACAATTTTTTGATTAAAAATGGAAAACATATATGAATATAATGTTTTCGTTTGATTAAAAACGCAG